AATATGACGGAAAATTTATGGCTCGATTTATTTGTTATTTTAATGGCAACAATTTAACGAGTGGAAAAAAAAAATAATCACAATGCGACAGCGTTAATCCCTTGATTTATCCAATCTAACGATTTATTAATCGATATATTGGATTTTATTAATCGAATATAAAAATAATGGCCAAAGTACTTCCGGCCATTTAAATATTCATGTTTTAATTAATGTATCGAATCACGATATATCATTTTATACGAGTGAAATATTGAACGAAATGGGCGTGTATGAACATTGGTGAGGATTAAAAGAAAGGATTTTGACGCGTTGTTGAAATTGGTATGTAATGGAATGATAAATGGAAACGTATAGAAATGATACAACGAAGACCTCTAAATATTTATTTATTTATAGCATAACGTTATCATTTTAGTTTAATAGAAATTTCTCTTCTTAAACTATTACTCAGAAACTTTATATCCTTATGCTCAGAAATTTTTATATCATTCCATACATTTTTAATTATACAAGATACATACATGCATGCGTAACTTTAACTATAGATATGTACGGAATGAGATATCTATAAAACTTTTCTTATTATTTGATATACATTGTCCAAGATAAATGCATTAATATACGTATTATAAGAATTATATTTTTCGTTTAAATCGAAATTGTCATAAAGCAGAGAAATTAAAACACCGCGAGCGTTTCCTGAAAACGTTTTAATTCACTAAAACCTCTATTTCAAATGCTTTTCTTGGTAAAAGTATTGCGTGTCCCTAGTCCATAATTTCTTCCTTAGGGAAGTGTTATTAACGAAATTACAAACTAGTTCACATGCGTGCCTGGATACAATGGTATGAAAATAAGGTCAGAAGAAAAGCTTTAGTTTTAATTAAAAAAGTGAATTGCCACGTGTCATAAAATTAAAATCACCGCCTTTGTGGAAAAAGATATATCATTGTGACAAAAAGTTGGTTGAAATTTTTCATAAGTGGTCATAAGAAAGAAATACTTAAAGTGTATCTATCCACTATTTAATAGAAAAGCTATGTATGAAAATTAATTGTTTAACATTGCACATAAAATTTTGATAGAATTGACATACAAATCAAGGAATCATATTTAATAATGTATCAATTTATTCTATTCACAATTCATTAAAAGATAATGAAAATAATCTTTTTAATTCCCAAACAAAAATAATTTGTATCGTTTAAAATTTTATGTAGATTATATTGTTTGATTTAATTTGTTCTAACGAAAAAAGAAAAGGAGAAAAAAAAAACAGGTTAGAAAGCTAAATCAGCTTAAGATTTCCACTTTATGCAAATTTTAAAAAGGGAACCAAAAATTGTCAAAAGTTCGTTCGCGTGTTAATGCATTTTAAACGTCGAAACGTGTTAATCATTAATGCGATAAAATAGGCGGATAATCTTGATCTCTTAATTGTGATTTTCTTTTTAATTCCTTTATAGAGTCACTGTAAATTCATTCTTATAATTAAAATACTTTGCGAATATATATTTCCTCTGTTATCTTCCAACTCACGTGAATTACAAACCTTATCGGACGATAAATACTGATAGCAAGAAGAGTTAGAGAGTTTAAAAGAGTATTTAATAAATGAGATAAAATATCGTTTAAACTTTTTCTCTAATGTTCATTTGTATAAATATTTATGAAAAATACGAAATACATGTTTTTCGCAATAATAGATTGGAAAAAAAATTGAAATTAAAGAGAGAAAGAAATTAACAAGCTTTTGCTTTTTTCCATGAAAAATTCTATCTCAAAAAGAAGAAGAAAAGAATTGGTGCACTTTTTTTCTTCATTTCTGTTTCGATAAAGAATAACTTCCCCTATGTATACATATTTTCTGTGCAAGGTAGATATAACACGCGATTAAAGATTGAAAGCCAGGATCAAAGATATCGAGTGAAATACGCGAATTTGACGGCATCCTGAATATACGAAAACAAAGGCTTCTTTCTATTACCTCCTTCTTTTTCTCTTTCCTTATACCATTCGACACCTACTTTTCACGAGAGCCTAAGAAAATTGAAATCAATATTACAGAATGCTCGTACGATTTTCGAAAATGTGTAAAATTTCAAAGAAATTGCACGAAAAAGGAAATAAATCAATCGTGTGTCGCTTTATTTAATTATTTATTTAATTTACAATATTATTAGTTAAAATTATTTATTTGAATGGAATTTATATCCTGATAATTTATCAATTTGTTAATAAAATTTATTAACAAAAAGATTTTGTGGCCATATTATTGGTGTATATTATTATTATTAACGATCGAACATGAATTTACTATGGATAATATTCCATAACCATATAACGGTTACGTGGCATGTATTGTATGCCTGTTATCGATATAATATAATAATCATGTGGATATAATGTAATATATATATATCATCGATCTAATTATAAAACATCATGGAAAATTTTAAGCATAGCAACGAATAAAAAAATAACAAACAAAAAGACAAATAATTGTTTCGAATAAAATAGCAAATAAATTTATTTAAAGATAAAATTATTTTCTTATAAAAATCTTATTATAAAATAAATCTTATTCGCGAAATAAATTATATGAACGAAAGTTTATTTCGATAAAGTCTAACCCAATTCTCTATCGAACTCTATTCTGTTTATTGTTCCTCTAATGCGTATTCGTATTCGAGGAAGATACTAAAAATATTTACAATGTCTTCGTGAGAAATTTAGGAATTCAGAGAAAAAAATACGATAAAAGTAATATTTTTGCTTAAAGAGTTCATTAATATTCCACCGCTACTCGGTTAATATCATCGATTTAAATATCGCGGCAAAAATGTCTTCGACTCTATTGACTTTCAAGATGTTATATCCTCGTATATAGAATTGGACAATACTCGAGGGCGGACTTGAATCGAACTTGGACAATGAGATAGTTCGCATACAATAGTATCACGTTACCGCGAAAATCGAATTTCTCTCTTGTAGACTTATACACTGTTCATCGTACCCCACGACTTCATCATCTTATTTCTAGACAATTAGAGCGAAATCTTCTTCTAAATCTCTTTGTTCCACGAAATAAATAGAAAAAAATATTGCTTTTCGATATATTCACTTTTATGCACTATTATGAACAATGAGAGAAAGTTAGGACAAAGTTTTTTTTTTAAAAATTATTAAATTTATGATTTCAATAATAAAATTCTTAGAATATAAATCGTAGATACGAAGAGAAAAAAGAAATAATAACAACGATTGAATTTGAAAATTTTTCGAAAAAAATTTTTAATTTTGATATTAATAAAAGGGTATTTAGGTAATGACATAAGAATTAAAATACATTGAAATTTTAATTCTTTGGAAAATACGTATTTTATTCGTATTGATAAAGCTGCTTACGAGGTAATTACAAACTTTATATAATATCTGTACATGTAGTTACATGTAATAAATTAAATGTTACGTATTACGAAGAGTAGAGTAACAACTTTATTCGAGCTCAGCAATTTTGAGTATTAATTGCAAAAATATAACGTACAGGTTTAATGGAAATGGTATATGAATAAATAGTTCGTATATTATGTAATTCTGAACGAATATAAATGAAAAATTTATCGTTAATAATGAATAGAAATTGTTAATTTAATTGCTTCTTTTCATCACTTCATTTACGAAATAATAGTGGCATAATAGTGACTTTTAATATTGACTACAGAAATATCGATAAAATTAAAAGTTGATTTGGATATATTATATCTCGAATCGAAAAATTTATACTAATTTTAAATAAAACGTAGAAATTTTCAAGGGTTCCACGATAGATCAACGATAAAAGAAATTTTTATATTAAGAAATTCGTCGCAATTCGAACAAATAAAAATAGAAAAAACTAACTCGAGGGATAATCAATTCCCTTTACACCTACAGTGAAGCAATAAAAACTTTAATTCCACTCTAAATTAGCTTCATTTGCATATCTGATCTTAATTAAAATACAAAAAATACGATAAAGTTAAACGTTGTGAGAAAAAATATTATAGCGAGAAACAATAAACATTCCTATTCTAAATATATATATTTCGTTATTTATATGTGAAAAATCTTAAAAATATTATATAATCTCCAAAAAAAAAAAAATATCTTTATCAAATTTGTTTGCTTTCAAACGCAATAAAAATTAACGATTTATGAAGAAATATTTCCAATTTCTTCTATCGTTATTTACAACATATAAATTTCAAAAAGATAGAGATATTTATAAGAGCATCGCCAATAAAATCGAAAACAAATTTGTAGATTGATAAAAGAAAGGAACAGGAGAAGGATCCTTTCGGACAAACGATCAAAGATTGAAAAAAGAAAAAAAAGACATAGGTAGTAAGGAACGAGTTTACAACGACATATACCCACCTGATATCGTTCCAATCTCGAGGTCCACGTCGCCGAGATTTGGTCCCTATTTTCCAAAGACTTTTCACGCAACGCAAGAACAGCCAGCTAAGATCGGTTGTTCGGCAAAGGTCCTAGCATTTGCTTGGACGATGATTCACCCTCTATTATCACGGGTTTGGGAGCGAAAACGAGCGCATTCATTCCGTTGCTTCTCGTTATTCCATCGCTCGAGGTGAGATTCCACCACCCCTTTCTCCCCCCAGAAAACAATCCGGCGGCAATTACCGGCAATTATTCGTGCACCGAGAAGCCCAACCTCTCGGTGTATCCGTCGAATTAACGCGAGGCAGGCCGCGCGTTGCGTGAACGTCGAAAAGTCACTTGGATTGTGGGGGCCGTGCAATGGGGGTGAGATATAATCGGGGAGGTTAGGTTGAAGTAAACCAAGAAGAAGATCCTTTCTTTTATTTTGTATTCGGAGACAATGTGTGCAAGAAAACATAAACGAACACACCAATGATCACGTGAACAACACTCTTTTTTTTTCTTTTTTTCTTTCTTTTTCTTTTTTTCTTTTTTGCTTTGTTTCTACTCACTCTTGGGCCAAGAACACTTAACGACTCCTGCTCGAGGATTCGCTCTCGACTTTCGCGATCTCTGTTGTTGTTTATAGTTCGATCGGATCATATGTGTCTCGCGGAACGCGAACTGTAGTGGAGCAGTGGGCACGATCACGCGCGAAACATCGAGGAGAGTAACACGGAGGGATACGCATGGAATGGAGAAACTGAGCGAGAGCCAATAATCTGAGAGGAAGAGAGAGAAAGAGAGAAAGAAAGAGAGAGAGAGACAGAGAAAGAAAGGCAGAGAAAAAGGGAAGAAAAAGAGAGAAGAGAAAGAGAGAGAGAGAAGAAAGGAGAAGAATAGAGAACAAGGTATAGAAAGAGAGGAGCGAATATAGAGGAAGTGGAGATAGAACGCGAGAAGGATAGATAGAGAGAAAGAGAGAAGAAAAGGAGTATACGAGAGGAGGCCGGTCAAAGTATATACGACCGACAAGGAGGGAAAACGATATTCTCGGTGCAGACGCACTCGCGGTCTGGTATATACGTAAACGCACAGAAAATCGACGTGCACGCGACGGCGGTCGCGACGATACTGCGCCCTATCGGGCGGCCCTGCGCAAATATAATACCACCCCTCTCTCCTACAGTCCGGCCACACTATTCTCCTCACCGCCACTGCCACCACCAAACCAAACTCAACCCTCTACCGACGATCGGTTTCTCTTCCTACCCTTTTATCTGCCATCCTCCTTCACCCCCTTCACTCCACCAACCCTCTACCCATCTCACCCTACCCGCCTCGATTTTCCATCCCTCCCTCTCCCTCCCCCTCGCCCTCACCATCCTCTTCTCTTCCACCCGCTTCTTCTTTTTTTTTTCCTCTCTACCCTTTTTTCCCCCTCTCTCCTCCCTCCTTCTTGCCCCCTTCTCTCTCTCTCTCT